GGAACGGAATTAATGAGAGAAAATGAAAAAATGGAAACAAAGTCTTTGTAAATAGGGAGGGATGGAGGGGTTGAAGGGAGGGCAGGGGAAGGGTGAAAAATAAGAACCAAGAGAGATTATGTAAAGGTGAAAATTTCCAATGATGAATGGCATTTTATTGTACACCTAAAATTATGTACCAATAAAATAATATTTTTTAAAAGATGAGTAAATATCTCAGGGAACATGATTTGATTAAGAAATTAGTAGCATCTGTTATCAGTATTGCACAAAATTTTAATGTGGAAAGGACTATAGAAATCATCTAGTCCAAGCTACTCATATATTGGTACATATATTAATTTATTGATTCATTAAGTAAACATTATCTAAATATCTATGGATTATGTGTTTCAGGCACAGCACCAGTTCTAAGATGCACAATGATGCTTGCAAAGTTTTTTTGAGGCTTCATCTCTCAATCCTATTTGTATTACTAATTTTCACTTTGAATTTTATCCGACTCTGTCCAAATGATTGATTACAAATTCTTTATCAATGAACTCCAATTTTTAAAAAGTGTGCTAGATTTATTTGTATCACATTGAAGAGCAATATAATGAAAAATGTAAGATGCTATTTTGTGGGCCAAAACTGGGTGCTATGTGGTCTGCATGTTTAATGTCATCCTAACATATGTACCTTCTTTCAGTGGCCAGCTTCTGGGAAAAGCTTAAATTTTTCTGGGTAGTATAGAATAGTTCTCTTCTTTGCTCATTCACCCATGGATAGAATATTTATAAATGCAAATAAATTCAGATCATGCTCTGTAATTCTATAATTCAGACTTTGACTTCTAAAATATCAAAAAAAGTGAAGTAACAATCACTATTATGTGTATATTCAGTTGCTCTTAACTGACAGCCATCATTTTAATAAAATATATAGAGTAGCTCTAGTATTCAAAATTTAGGGAAATAATACCTTAAATAGTTAATTTCTTCAGGTTAGGAAATGCAGATATCATCTACACTATCCCTGGGAAGTTGTTGCCAGTAAAGGTTTACAAATGAATAAATTATGATTCTCATGGCCACATTAGAGTTAGAAAATATATTAATATTGTATAGGAAAAATGAAACCCAATGATATTTCCAGAATACATATTTTCACCCTCAATTTTTATTTTGATCACATTATTCTATCATAATAAAAATTTGTGCAATTACTTCTGTTGTAATTATTTCTTTTAAAAAATCTTGTTACATAACTTGAACTTGGGAGGCAACAAAATGCAGTATAATTTTACTTGTCAATAATGAAGCAAGCTTTCATATTAACAATTAATCAGAACTGAAAGGAGTGTTAAAATGTCTGCATCATTTGTCAGCAGTGTGTCTCTATCTTTGGTATAATGTAGCAAGATCAAATCCTTTTAGGCTGAAAGAATGAGAAGAACAATTACAAAGCAAACAATTCTCAATACAGATAGGAAATCTGGGCACACTGTTAGTGGTTAGTAATGAATGGAGAGTTTTGATTTAGGAGAAAAAAGAACAGAAATAATATAAAAGTTAATTTCCAATTCTTCCATGCTAACAAAGGGTAACGAAGGAAAATTAGATGTTTCATTTTAGCATTAAAGAGATTTGAAACTCAATAGTACTTTCAAATTCAAAATTTACACTGAATATTTCAATTACCCTAGTGATTCTCCCAGAAATAAAATATCCAGTATATTTGAAAAGGTTTCCTTTTATATTTTTGAATAGCTTTTATTGATCTATACTTATCTTCGTTTCCTTTATTAAACTTTCTGATAAAAGTATTTTTTTCTTACTAAGAGACAGTTTATATTGTAATCATTTATATTTACAAAACTTGACCAACACAATTATGTGGTTAAAATGCCATAATTTTTTAAAAGGAGTATTACATCTATCAGTCTTCTAGTATAAATTCAAAGAAATCCATGATCTGACCCATCAATCAGTAAAGCTGAGTAGCTTTTATTCAGGCCACAACCAGGAGAGTAAAACCATGTGACTACGTATTTGTCAGAAATCACTGCAGTTCATTCACTCAGCAAGAGACCTATCATCTTTAAAACATGCCTATTCATCACCAAGATCAAATTCAAGGTCCTCATAGCACCTGCTCTGAGTGCCTATGTTCTCACAGCTGAAACCTTTGCTTATACATTTACTTCGGGACTGAGCAACTTTAAGCTTTAGAGAACTGAGAAAAAAAAATATCTCACTAACCTCCTTTTGGTGATCTCATCCTGAGTTGTCCAAACCTGGGGATCCTTTAAACTTCAAAGCCTAACAAAATATTTTGTTTTTTATCCACAGGAGGAAACCCTCCAGCGGGCACGTGAGGAAGAAGAGAAAAGAAAGGAGATCACAAGTCATTTCCAGACTACTCTGACAGATATCCAGGCCCAGATAGAGCAGCAGAGTGAGCGAAATATGAAGCTCTGTCAGGAGAACACAGAACTCGCAGAAAAACTGAAAAGCATCATTGATCAGTATGAGCTCAGAGAGGAGGTGAGAACCACATCAAAGAGCTTCAAATTGCTATATATAGATCTGGATCTGGGTTGTGAAGTTGGGGAACTCAATTAATAAAAAAGTTATGCACAACTCTTAAAACTGATTGTTAGGACTGAATTTCTTTTGCTAGCCAAAATAAAGACAGATGGTAGTACAAAATATCTGGCTAGAAGTCCTAAGGGATTTCTTCAAACCTGGTGTCACTGCAAAGTAAAGGCAGTAAATAGTGGTATGAACTCAGTTATCCTTGAAAACAATACTTCTCGGCCCTTTAAAAAAATCTTTTCAATGTTGCCAAAAAATAATCCACATTCTCTTTTTTAAAATTACCATGTAATCTAATTAAGGATCTGTAGTCTACATAGCTTATAAGTCAAAAGTGTTAATGTAATAATTATAACAATGATATCTATTTTATGCTTAGTTTGTATCGGGTATTATGCTAAGTACTGTACTTTGTACACAATATACCATTTATTTGTCTCAACTTCCTTATGAACTTGAAAGTGCTGTATTTTCCACATTTTATATATGGGGAGCAGAGGCTCTGAAATCAAATCACTCACAGTCACTTTTGCTGTGGGTAGTTTACAATAGACAGACAATAAGGGTCTTCTGTGACCTCCAAATTATACTTTAATGCTTAACATGTTTTAATACCCCAGATATCCCTCAGGACTATGATATATTTCTTTCCCCATCTCACTCAAATTTTACATCTCTGCCTTAAAATATAAAATAACATAGTTAAGTGGCTCTGTTGGAAATGTCCTAGGATTTTATCAAGAAGACTGAGCCAGTACCATATGGTCACAGCAGTTAGGTAAATCAGGCAGTTCCTCACAGAAACTCAAAATGCCATACTACCACTTAATCTTTTTTTTTTTTTAATTCTTTTATTGGTCCATTGTAGGTATACAACACAATTACATTTCTCATTGGGAATTGTACCTTTACATAATGCATCTTGGTTCTTATTTTTTCCCCCTTCCTAGCCCTCCCTTCACGCCCTCCACCCTTCCCTATTTACAAAGACTTTATTTCCATTTTTTCCATTTCTCATCATTTTTCCTTTCCCTTCTTTCCTTTCCCCTGCCTCTCCCACTACCCCTATCCCTTTGGACCTTTTCTTCCTGTTTTACATTATCAATTATTCATTCTAATCATTGGCACATTTTAGGTATACAATATAATGACATTCATCATTGGAAATTTGCACCTTTACATAGTCTCTCTTGGTTCTTATTTTTCACCCTTGCCCAGCCCTCCCTTCAACCCCTCCAGTCCTCCCTATTTACAAAGATTTTGTTCCTATTTTTCCATTTTCTCATATTAATCCCATTCCCTTCTATCCTTTCCCCTAGACCTCCCACTTCCTTCCCCTTTGCCCCTTTTCTTCCTATTTCACAGTACCTATTATATATTTAGTCCTTATTTACATTTTCAGTTTCTCACACGAGAGAAACTATTCGGTATTTATTCATGTGTGTCCTATTTATTTCACTTAAGAGTATCACCTCAATGTGCATCCACTTAGCTATAAATGTCTTTAATTTCTCATTTTTTATGGCTGAGTAGTACTCCATTTTACAAAAAAACCACATTTTCTTTATCCAGTCTCCAGTTGATGGGCATTTGGGCTGTTTCCAAGTTTTAGTTATTACAAACTACCATTTAATCTTGTTACATGGATCAGTCCTACTCCAGAATGGAGGCTCACACTACAGCACAAGGGAAGAAATGAAAGGAAAATGTTCACACTCTTTAGAGAGATCTCAGGTGGAATAGCCTGATACACTACTTACATATTCCTAGGGTTGATTCCATGTAAAGCCCAAGGACAGAATTTCTTTGTACATATTTGCCATACACAACAATTACATTCATTGTGGGGAATTGGTACATATACATAGCACATTTTAGTTTTTTAATTTCCCTTCCCCTCTCTTTCTTCACCCTTCCATTTCTAGTTCCTCTTCCCATTTGTGAGGGGTTTATCTCCTTCTTTCATATTATCTGTCTTTTATTTTGCTCTTTAAATTATTTATACTTTGGGTTTCTCATATAAGAAAAACAATGTGATATTTATGCTTGTGTCTAATATATTTCACTTAACATTATGGTCTCAAGATGCATCCATTTTCCTAAAAATGATTCAAATTTATCCTTGTTGATTGCTGATTAGTACTCCATATTGTGTTAAATATACCACATTTTCTGTATCTATTCATCTACTGATGGACATGGAAGGTGCTTCCAAGAACTATTATGAATTGTGCTATAAACATCAGTATGCATGTATCACTATAATATGATGTCTTTAATTCTTTCAAGAAGATGAATAGAATTTCTTAGGTTTTTTTTCAGGGATCTCCATATTTATTTTCATAGTGGTTGTACTACTTTAAATTCCCACCAACAATGTAGAAGGATTCCTTTCTCCCCCATAGTCCACTAGCATTTGTTATTGTTTGATTTTTTGATAATAGCCATTCTTTCTGGAGTAAGATGAAATCTGTATTGTTTTAATTTGCATTTATCTCATGGGTAATGATGTAGGACATTTTTTTCATGTGTTTATTGGCCATTTGTACATCTTCAGAGAAGTGCCTATTTATTTAAATTGCCCATATTTTGACTAGGCCTTTTATTTGGGGGGGGTCCTAAATTTTTTGAGTTCTTTGTATATTTTAGATATTAGTCCTCTGACTGAGGAGTAGCTAGCAACATTTTTTCCCCCACTCTGCAGTTTGTCTCTTCACTCTATTGGTTGCTTCCTTTGCTGTGCATAATCTTTTTAATATAGTCCCATTTGCTGATTCTTGGTGTTATTTCTTGTGCAATGACAGTTCTGTTCAAAAAGTCTCTATCTATGCCTATCTCTTTAAGAGTTTCAACTAATTTATCTTCCAGCAAATTGTGTTCTTGTTTTCATATTTAATTTTTGATCCATTCTGATTTTAGTTTAGTACATGTTAAGAGATATGGGTCTAAATTCAACCTTCTGTACATGTATAACCAGTTTTCCCAGCACCACGTGTTAGAGAAGCTATCTTTCCTCTAGTGTGTTTTTGGCCCCTTTGCCAAAGATCAGGTGACTGAATTGCCTGGAGTTGTTTCTCCATCTCCTATTCTGTTCCATTGATTCAAGTTGGTGGTTTTGTGCCAGCACCATACTGTTTTTATCACTGTACCTTTGTAATATAACTTGAAGTTTGGGATTGTGATAACTCTTATGCTTTTGTTGTCCAAGATTGCTTTTGCTAGTCTGGGTCTCTCCTGGTTCCATATGAATTTTAGGATTTTTTTTTTCCTGGTTTTCTGAGGAATGCTGTTGGTATTTCAGTTGGGATTGCATTAAATCAATATATCATTTTTGGTAGTTTGGCCACTTTGACAATATTTGTTCTTCCTATCCAGGAATAAAGGATATCCTTACATTTCTGATGTCCTCTTTGATCTCCTTTTTTAGAGTACTGTAGTGTTTGTTGCAGAGTTCTATTGTTTCCTTGTTAATTTTTTAGTAATTTTTCTTAAGGCTATTATGAATGATGTTTTCTCAAGGAAAGAATTTCACATGTACGTTTTCTCAATGACCAAAAAACTCTTCACACTTAGATAAGAGTCAGAAGCTTCTCTTCATCTGGCAAGCCCAGAGGTCAACAGGTGTAGAAGCTAGTGCACATCTGCAAATCAATTCATCTGTGATCCTTGGTCTTAGAACCTCTACATATGTTAGCTTTCCATTATTATAATAAATATATGAGATAATAATCTTATATAGAGAAAAGGGTTAGTTTGGCTCACAGTTTTAGAGATTTCAGTCCATAATCAACTGACTCCATTGCTTTTGAGGCTGTGGCAAGGCAGCACATCATCATGGTGAGGAATAAGTGGTAGAGCAAAGCTGCTTATTTTGTGGCAGCCAGAAATCAAGGGACAAAAAGTGGAAGGGGTGGGCACTCACTATACCCTTCAAGGGCATGCCCCCCAATGACTAGAATACCTCCCACTGGGCCCCACCTCTTATATTTTCTACCACCTCTCAATAGCATTAAGCTGGGCATTAAGCCTTTAACACAAAGGCCTTTGGGTGACATTTCTGTTCCAAACTATGGCACCACAAGAGCAATAGAGAACTCAGAGGGCTGGTCCTCACTCCTAGCCCTAAGACCACATGCTGCAACCAAAGCAAATCACTCTCACAATCCTTGAGGCAAGAACGTAGAGAATTCACCATGATAAGATGTATAAATGCTGTGGTTAAAAGAGGCTTTATATTCACAAAATGAGCCAAAATACTAAGTGACAGTGCTATGGCCCTTGAAGTATAGATTCACTGTCTAGCATAATAAATAACATTTCAAATAGTTACCAAATTTAGAAAAATAAGGTTAGGAGTTTTAGGTATTATGCTGAACCCTGGTGCCTCCACCTTTTCCAGCTGTTTGTATAATGCAAAATGTGAGGGTCTTCCCCAACCTATGGCCTTAATATACAACCCTAAGTGATGCAGGTGCATTTATTCCTCCTTTATTTTTTAAGTCTTAAAACCTAGAAAATGTGTGTGCATATGAATTATTTTTTCTATTTTGCTTTTGTAAGAACCCATCCTAAACCATGTGCTCTATGTATACTTTATTTTTCCTTAGCATCTGGACAAAATATTTAAACACAGAGAACTGCAGCAGAAGTTGGTGGATGCAAAACTTGAGCAGGCACAAGAAATGATGAAGGAAGCAGAGGAGCGACACAATCGAGAAAAGGAATATGTATTTATCCTTTTAGTCGGTGTGCCTATCTGGTCTACCTAGGTGACAGAAACTCGGTTTTGATAATGGTCAAAGAGTACTACATTGATTGAGGAAGAGCTTGAGCTTCTATGGAGAACTAAATGAGCCTCCCCGATGTGCAGCACTGTATCTACACTATTTCCCACATAAAACAGTTATTCAACAAGTATTTTTCAAATGTCTATTATCTGCTGAGCACTCTTTTTGGTGCTGCAATATAGCTGTGAACAAGACAGAGAAGGGCCATCTCCCACCATGTAGATTATAGAGTTTGACTGGGAAGAGACAGGCAGTAACAAGCTAACATACAAGGAAGAGTAATTCCAGATAAAAGTAAATGCTATTCGAAAAAATAAGGAGGAACTGAGAAGGGACCAAAGGAGGGAAGGCCTCCCAGAAGGGCGGATGATTGAGCCAAGCCCTATCTAATGCAGAGCTGCCATGTGGAGAATCATCTTCAGCAATAGTGTATGCACCAATGACAAGGCCCTGATGCTGAGACCAGCCTGGAATGCTCCAGAAACAGGAAAAGCTCAGGAAAGCAAGAGCATGTTGAACAACTGGGAGAAAGGTTCAAAATGATATTGCAGAAGTAAGCAGGGATCAAACTGTGTAGTTTTGTACAACTTGAAAATTAGTTTGGATTTTATTCTAAATATAATGAGAAAATATTGGGCAGTTTTAGCGAAAAAGTGACATGACCTGCTTTTTATCTATAAAAGATTAATTTAGCTCCCAAGTGGAAATGGATTACAGAGGAGCAAGAAAGCAAGAAGAGAGGAGGTTATTATAGCAATCCAGATGAGATATGATGATGACTTCATTTAGCAAGGAGGTACCCAGGAAGGAGAAATAGAGATGAATAGAAATTTTTCAATGCAAAATGACAGGCAATGTTGTTGATCTGAAGACGGTGACAATGAGAAGGGGGTAAGTCAAGGATGACTCCTGGGTTGAAGAAGCTGAATGGTGGTGTTTACTGATCTTAGTGGCCCCAAGCATCCTCCAAAGCTGTAGGGCCATTCTACAGATGTGAAAAGTGAAGTTTAAAAAGGATATACAACTTGTTTAAAGTCATACATTGCTAAGTGACCAAGATGTGTTTCAAATCCAAGAGCATCTGTCCCCAAAGCCCAAGTTCTCTATAACAGTACATCATACTCAGAGGCGTGCTATAGATGTTTAAGCTGAAGCATGTATCAGTTGTTGGGAGAGAGATTTAAGACACAATCAGTGAACCAATTATTCAAATTTAGTCATTTGACATTTGATCACAAGCTTTTCATTTCTCTAAAATGAAACCAGAATCACTTCAATTTGTAAAACAGTAATTTTTAAATAACTTCAATTTTCAAGCATGGAAGCAAAAAGATGAATTTTGGAGAATACAGCCTTATGGCCATTGGAAATCTCTTTCTCTTAAGAATAATTAATCCCATCTACAATATAGCTCTCAGAGTAATAAATAAAACATTTATTATTCAAAATCCAAGAAAATAGATACTCCACTGTTTTAATTATCCTCCTAAAATATGCTTCCTAAGGGATATATATGTATTTGGTTTACTATACATGAAATATAACAAAGGAAGAACTGAGCAAAAATTCATGTGAGGGGGACTAGAGAGAAGATTTGCGGTAACCCAGCCTTAGCAAGAAACTCTCACACTGTCCAGTTTTTCTACCCTGGCTTAGCAAAACAGCAGACTTGGGTCAGAGAAGGGTAGCTGCTTTAGTTCTTCAAAGGTAGCCATCTGCTTGGGTTGCAGCTCTTGTCCTTCATCTTGAGAGTCGTGACATATGAGTCCCAGTGAGGGTTTCTTCACACAAACAGAATACCCAGCCATCAACCTCCTGTTAGATCAAAACTCACCGATTACAACAGGCAGCACAACTAGCTGAAAAAGCAGGGCCCTACACATACAGACACCACATTCCTCAGATGGCCAGAGGTGGCATGGAGGTCTATTTTGCAGCTGCCCCCAGGCCTCTCGTAGGACCAGTTGTACTTTACAAGTTATCTTTAGGTTATAATACAATTTTTTAAAAACTAGAAGTTTTACCTGACACATTATAGGTGTGAATTTTATAAAATAAATAAAACTCTGAACTCTAACTAGAAGACCCTAAGCCAAAATAGAGCACATCAAAGTTGATAAGTACATTAATATACATCTTAAGTTAAAATAACATGTTTTACATATGTATGTCAGTTTTATGCTAAAACCAACATTTTCAGTTTAACACATGAGCTCCCAATTCTGACCATGTCTGACATGTTTTACTGCATTTGAAAGGACACCTTGTGGGAGAGAGATAAAGCTTATTTTGTAAACCTCCAGAGAATGGGATTTAGAAAAATAAGTCAAACTCCTGTTTCTCACTCTAATCCAAACTGTATTTGCTATAAGGATAGATTTTAACCACGCTGTCTTTTAACATGCTACCAAGAAGATTCCAATGGGCAATAAAAGCTTTGTGTCAGGAACAGGGGACAGAAACCAAGTCAATATTTCTGCTGCAATGGCATGCTGCGATACAGCATAGGATCTAAAAGAATAATTCCGGGTTAATGTAAAGGAGCACTTCCTGGCAACAGTGCTCAGGTGGGGAAGGTTCTGTGGAGATTCAGGCATAGGCTGATGATGTCTAGAAAGGACTGTGAGAGAAGCATCCAGAATTTAGTGGGAGGTTGAATTTTGTGATTCATGCTTGAGTTAGACGCACTTTTTTTTTTCATTAAGATCACTAATTTTGGTCTAGGGATGTAGGTCAGTGGTAGAGCACTTGCCTAGTACATGTGCCATCTTTGGTTCAATCCTAGCACCACAAACAAACAAAAACCCTAAACAAACCAAAGCACTAGTTTTTAATTAAAAACAAAACATTTTAGGGGCTGGGAATTTAGCTCAGTGGTTCCAGCGCCTGCCTCACAAGTGCAAGGTCCTGAGTTAGATCCCCAGTACCAAAAAAAAAAAAAACATTTTAGACTAAATGTTTTCTTAGCTTTCTTAGATTTTTTTTTTATAAAGTCCACCCCCAAAAATACTTTAGGCTTAATAAGAAAAAAATTGTTTCATATACAAATTACAGGCAAATGGTAATCTAAAAAACAAATTAATGTTGTTTCCATGAATTCTCTCTTCCCACAGTTGCTCAATCAGGCAGCAGAGTGGAAACTTCAGGCTAAAGTGCTGAAGGAACAAGAGACAGTGCTGCAGGCTCAGGTGAAGTGGGGGAGAAGGATGCGTGGGGTGTGCTCTTCCTGCTAGTTCCAAGAGGCTGGAAGGAATGGTAATCTAAGAACTTTTCATATGGCATGTGACCAGGGGACACGGGGGATGGGGGTGTGGAAATGAAGAAGACCTTCACATGTATGGTTTTCAAGTAAAAACAAAAGCATAGTAATGCATTATATCTAGGAAAAAGATATACTCTATATCAACCACCCAGTCAAAAGGTTTGTTGACAAATGATGGCATCAAAACTGTCACAGGAAGTTAACATTCAGGTTCATACCTACCTGTCCATATTTCTTGTCTCTTTCCTCCCCCATTACCCTACTAAGGTAAGAAGAAAATGTAAACTGTTCAGATGTACCATCTGTAACTGATAATTCTTAAAATATCCTCATATTTTGATATTGTTTTTATGCAAAATAAAGTCAGCATGAAGGTTTCTGTGCTATCAGAGGTTGGCCTTGTTAGCAGAGAATGACTAGAAGTACCAGGCAAGTCAGGAGCCATTTTCATTTGGCTTCATAGTGTTATTCATGTTTTGATTAGTCTACTGGAATTCCCATTTCAGGCTCAAAAATAAAGCACAGGGGAGACACAGCTGCCTTGGGGCAAAAGCCAGGCCTATCCATCCTCCCCATTGCCCTTGAGGCTCTGCCCCTCCTTGCAAACATTCCATCAGGTTCCAGAACTATCCTGACACAGGCCACAGAGGGGCTTTATCTCTGCTGCTGGGAGAAATGTCCAAGGGCTAAAGGGAATGTGAGATCACACAGCACAATCACAGAAGGTGAAGTCAGAAGCCTTCCACATTAGGCAGCATTAATTTAAGATTTGTAAATATTTATGTGCTGACTATAGAATCCTTATTCATTGTGAAAAAAATACTCATTGTATGAATGAACATGTTCAATGAATATATTTTTATTGTAAAAGAAAAAAGACAAAATTTTTAATAACAAATTATACCACTGCATAGACAAAAACACAGAAAACAGTTTTATATCTAGCTTTCCTAAAGTATACTTTTGCAATGTGCATAGAGAACACAATGATAAATTGTTTTCTCCAGTAGGATCTATTCTCTGAAAATATATAAAAAGTTTTAAAGACTAATTAACTAGAGGTTAGAAACATAATGTTTCTGACTTTTAATAGAATCAAAGGGCTGTGAGTTACTCAAGATCCACCTCCTGGCAATCACAAAGTCCAATATCACATCATGGTGTAGGGATTGGCAAGCAGATGGAGTCTTTAACTAGGACATAGGCAGTAGAAAAAGCAGCATGACCTTACTGTCTAGGTGAGGGGGCACTCAGAGAATCAAGCCAGGGCTTCAGATCTGTCCTTGCCTCATTTGCAACACAGAGCTTGAGAGGAACAATGAACAACACTTGAAGTTATGCACTGTTCACATCATCTATTACACACAGTCTCTACTCTTCTGTGCTAAATAAAGACAATGAACTTGAGTAGATTAATACTGCTTTCTGGGCTAGACAGTGATTCATTCAGCTGACATCTGAATCTAGTGAAATAAAAAATATAAAGATGTGAACCAATCTCCCAACTATACCCCCTCAAACTTGAAAAAGCATCTACCAGGGGTTCTAGACTTGCCCCAGTTCCTCACTCATCCCCTGGTCCTGAACCAACTCTAGAAACTATGGTCAGAGTCCGGGTCCTTCTACAGAGAAACTGTGTGACCCTGTGCAACTCACCAAGACCTCTCTGTATCTAAATTTCCTTACGTGTAACATGAAGATCACTGTCATAAATCAGTGATCCTACAAGAGTCCTCTGACCTCTGTGAGGCCCATATTTTTTCAGTATTTCCAAAACAGCAGGACTTAAGGTTATAGCTACTCTAAAATGCAGTTGCTCCTGACATCATATCAGCTCTTACTCTTCAATTGTGGATGGCAATTATTGATACATTTAATTTTTAAAAGGACAATAAGTAGATACAAAATATATGCAGTGTACTATCAAAGTATGTATGCAAAGCACTTAACTAAGTGCCTGGTACATAGGCATGAATAATTTAACCAATATCTATTGAGCACCTACTAAATCGTTCCAGATGTTAGAGCTACAGTAATCAATAAGAGACAAACATCTCTGCCTAATTGAACTAACAATCTAATAACAATACTGCTAATAAAAATGCTAACCATTATTTAGAGCACAAACTAGTATAAGCTAGTAGGTCATTTCATAGGTGGGGATCCATATAAGGAAATACGAAACAAAGGGAATCTTCAGTTACAAAAAAGTTGAAGAACGACTGGAAAATATAATCTCAAGACCCTTTTCAGCTCTAGTTCGTGAATGTAGAAATTTTCCAGAACGAAAGAAGTGTGACCCTAGGCTGAGTTAACACCATCTCCTCCTCCAGAGCCCACACTTTATCACAGGGCAGCTAGTTCGCTAGTTGCAAGGACCTTGTTTGTTTTACACTTCTGATCTCCAAGGCACTTCAAAATTTCAATAATTACTTAGCCATAAAGAAGAAAATAAAGGCCCTCAATTGCTATGTGTAACAATGTTTAAACAGGGCTGGGGATTTAGCTCAGTGGCACCATGCCTGCCTCAACAAGCACAAGGTGGTGAGTTCGATCCCCAATACCAAAGAAAAAAAATGTTTAAACAAGTTGCCAAGAAGTATTAAAATTCTTATTTTAAACACTTTTGGTAGGTATGGTGGCTCATACCTATAGTCTCAGCTATTCCAGAGGCTGAGACAGAAGGATCACTTGAGCTAAGGCACAAAGATTGTTTGAGGCCAGCTTGGGCAACACAGCAAGACCCCATCCAAAAAACCAAAAATAAAAACAAACTTTTAAACTTTGGAAAACAAGCTCTACTGCAAATAATGTTGCATACTAGTCAAATACTTCCTTTGGTTTTGCACTGTCCTTTAAGGAGAGGGAGTGGCAGAAGGCCAAGGCCTTTGTCCCCATTGCTAAGGCCTGAGCAACAGAAAAAATCAAAGACAAATCATCTTGTTTTCCTATACTTAAGTCACTCTTCAGTAATAAGACAACAGCTGGCCAGTTGAAAGCATGTTTCTCACTTGGAGAAGAGATGTCTGGCTTTCAATTATACAAACCAAAGCAATAGAGTAGCTGTCAGAGATGATCAATGAGATACAATTGTCACTACAAATGGAGTGTTCATCAGATCAATAAGGATGAAGACAGTAGTAGATGTTGAAAGCCAGCAATATCTGACAGCAGACTCAAAATACCACCCAAGGGGAAAGAACAGTGAGTAAATTGTTTAAAGTGTATAATCATAACCTTTAAAATCAAAAGTCCTCCCCTCATCTATATAGGATAAGAGAGCCTTCTGCTCTTGTAATAGGACTCATTACTAAACCAAATCTCACAGGATTGCTAAGACAATTCCTAGACACAATTCTATTTCCTACACACTACAGATGTTTTTCATTAAAATTCAGTCCTCAGTTAAAAGAATGTGTATGTCCCTTGGCCCATTTAAAAGTGAAATATTGAGGCAATTACCATTACTTCTAACCATAGAGCAGTTTGCTTCTATTTTTGACTCTGGCAGAAAAAGTACTGCACATGACCTCTGGATGTCCTTTCTATGCTTCTCTGAAACCCCAAAGTGAGAGTAGGAATATCACATGTGAAACCGAACATGCATTATGTCAGCATAATAGTCAAAGGTGAAATACTATTGAATAAGTATCCAGTAAAAAAATAATAATAATAAACCCAGGAAGTATTGGAGCTGGTTACTCGAAAAATGTATAATCCATATGACAAAGAGGTCAACAGGAAGAAGGGCAGAATATTAAACACTGGGCACTCAGAGAAGTACATGGGGAATTATTTAATGGGTATGATGTTTCCATTTTGCAAGATGAATGGTTGCACAACACTGTGAACATACTTAATACTACTAAACTACAAAGTTTTAAATGGTTAGAATAGTAAACTGGATGTTCTGTGTTTTTTAACACAATTAAATTTTTTCAAAAGTTTAGAGAAAACTATACAAAAACAGTCTCTAGGAAAAGCCCTGAAAAGGTGATGATGAAGAAAGACAGACACACTTCTTGGCACTCTGGGTGTGTCTGTCCTCTTCATGCCACAAGCCAGCAACAAGAAAACATGAGAAAGGTAAACATCTCCCCAATTAGCTCATCAAAAGCATGCTTTATTTTTGTTAGTACCTTACTTTCAGACATGATGGAAAAATAGCCTCCAGTTACAGATGAAAAAGTAAGACAGACATATAGTTGGGTGCAGGCTATCTCACCAGAAAACTTCACTGCCTGTCAGCTAATGTTGAAGCTGAAGTTCTGGGTGTGGTTGTTTCTGCTAATTCTGTCAAGGCTGCCTCTGGAGAGAAGGTCATCCATGTGCTCACTCTTGCCCTTACTAGTCTACAGCCTACAACTTCAGCTACAAGAGAAGGCTTGGAGGGACCAGCTCAGGAACCCACAGTTTCTGAGACTCCCATGTAACTGTTGGAATTACCGATACATTGGAGAAAATAAGAAAAAGAAGTTAATGGGAAGGGCTTGGCTGAGAATGCAAATGAACAGATTCTATAAAAGAAGATTCCATTACTTGCTAGGGGTAGTTAGTCTTAACCAGAGATGACTGGACAATGTGCAATGTATACAGGTAACCAGACCCACAAAAGCTTATCCTAGAGTAGAGTATCTCAAACTAAGAGGCTATCCCACTGCATTGCACACAGTAAGAGTAAATATTATCTTATATACAGTGTGTGTCTGTGTGTGTGTGGTGTGTGTGTAAAATCTTAGGGTTTTATACCTTTCTGGCCATAAAGTCCCTGATGCCCCTTTACTCAGTCTTGTGTAATCTATATGCCAAGATATCATAAGAAACAAATTTCAGTTCTGTCACATTCTCTTAGGGTAAATGACCATTCAGAATAATGGTCAGCTATTGTTGTGAATTTGAAAAATGTGCACACTACAGAAAGGATTTATGTTAAAATGTTGTTGTTTACTTCACTAAATTCTCAACTATTCTGAAATATTAGAGAATATATCATTCTAAGTAAGCAATTTTCAGGAATCTAGGGGTTGTTTCACACACACACACACACACACACACACACACACACACAGCCTTGAGCCCCATGCTGAAGACTGAAAGCTCTCCAAACTGCTGGATTTCAGTCTGTGTTCTCTTCTCTACTTTAGAAGAGTCTCACAGATACCACCAGCTGGTCAGCTGGTACCTTCCTTCTGGCCAACAAACCAGCCATCCCCGTCTACCAAAAGCAGCTGTGAGTTCTCATTCATTGAATGCTGCCAGTCTGCTTCTTTCTACACACAAAACATTTCTGTGCTCGTTTGAAGACCTAAGACTGTTCTGGACACTCAGGAGCACCAAATTTGAAAATGGAGGCTTTACTAACTTGAATTATTCAAATTAAATCTCTCTTCACTCAGAACATACTATCTTAGTATCATTTTTAAAAGCAAGATTTTATCCCCAGTACCAAAAACAGACAAAAAATAAATAAAAGCAAGATTTTAGTATTTTGTTAGTCACTAACAAGTATTAACACACTTTTCTTCCTTATGCTGCCCCATTCCCATTCCAAATGGAAGTCTTGGAATTAAAGATGTGGAGATACAATGACTCGTCTCGATATCCCTATGATAGGCCACATACTCAGGAATGCCAACCCATATAATTTTTGGTGCAAATTAAAACAAGGCATCCCTCCATAAAGACTCATTACCTCCCATCTGTAGAAAATTGGTATAATAAGCTAATTTTGATGAAAGGGCCATTTTTAACTGTTACTGGCTAGAATACTGGTCAGTATTCATAAAGATATAAAACTATGATGTCTAAAACAGTAATGGCAATTACTTAAAGTGGTGAACAATCTACAGGACAACAGCAGCCCTTGCCCATTCTTGCCCAGGTCCTACACACATTTCCTTTATCATTTTTTTATGATACTGGGGATGGAACATAGGGTCTTGCTGGTAAAATTATGAAATAATGAAATGGTGATAACATTTATTATTTCTTTTTTCTTCAAAGAAGTATTCCACTTATGCTCATGACCTAGATTGATTTTGTAGCCAAAGAAAACATAACACATGACTAACACTGTACTGAGAATCCTTTAAATCATTTTTCTCCCCGCATAATAAGCAGTGACACATGGTTTTGTTCTGGAAGTATTCTGAAAGCAGACCTAAAATAGATGCACTCTTTCCCTGTTTACAGCTTACTCTCTACGCAGGAAGGTTTGAAGAGTTCCAGAGCACACTGACAAAAAGCAATGAAGTGTTTGCTACTTTCAAACAGGAAATGGATAATGTGAGTATTATTTATCATCCACAAAATATGACATTTTATATTTTGACAGGCAATTCTTTTTATTTTTCCCTTGCTAAGATAGTTCAGTGCATTTAATAAACCAATGAAATGTTTATAGATAGGAATGAGGTTTGGGCTGTATTTTTTTATTGGTAAATATCTGGTGAATTAATCTTAGCAAGAATCCAAAAAAGGCTAGGATACATTTTCACTCTGAGAATGATTACTTCCTTTTCTACTCCATGTCTAGCTTTAAAATAAAAGACAAGAGTCAACATTATCTTGAATCTACCAAAGTAAAAAAAAATAATCTTCTGAAGTTTACAAAAAAATTTTCATACAAACATGTAAAAGTAAAATGTTAGATCAGAAAATACCATCTGATAGGATTGTTTTGTTTTGTTTTGAGACAGGGTCTTGCTATGTAATTTAGGCTGGTCTTGAACTATGTAGCCCAGGTTGGCCTTGAACTCACAGTGATCTTCATGACTCTGCCTCCTGAGTGCTGGGATTATAGGCCTGTATCATCACATCCAATCTGATATGATCCTTCTTAAAAGGGAAGATATGTAATGTGACATATGAATGAAAAGCGAACGTATGTAACATGATATATAAATGAGAAGTCCTAGATGAGAAGATGAAAACTTGAATTCAAATTTGAATGTGTTCTTACTCAACAAGCCATGCTGGATAATTCACTTACCTTTCTTGAATTTTATTTTTTTCTCTCTAAATTGAGACATTATTTTTCTTATCTATCTCACAAGATTGTGAAGTTCAAATAAGTTAATGTATTTTAACTGATGTTTAAACTTTTTGAAAGTCTTCTACAACTAAAAGGAACTAATATTGGTATAATGTTTTTATTTTAATGTTATACAAGTAGATATTAAAAAGCACTTTTTACTTCTATAAAAAACAATTTTATAACAAAATAATTAGATAATAACAATAGTTAATACATTGTGTATCATAATCTTAAAAGAATGGCCAAAATGTTACTCAGAGTACAAGTCATAGACAAAAAAAGACTCTTTCTTACAAAAAAGAAACATATATAAAAGCATAAAACTTTCTCAAGATCCAATCAAAAAATGGGCAACCAAAGTGTTTTTGCTATACAAAATCGGCACCAGAACTGTCTGAATAAGCACTGGCATTAAACATTTTTAAATACAGAAAGGATCTTTTAAAAAATATCTCCATGAACTTGGGGCCAGGGATTTAGCTCAGTGGTTTTGCCACCTGCTGCACAAGCGCAAGGACCCAAGTTCGATCCCCGGTACCAAAAAAAAAAGCCATTGGCCACGGGTGATTTGAAAAAATATCTCCATGAACTAATATGACAAATTTCACAATTAAGTGAACAAATTTAAGAGGTTTATACTTGTTAAAAGTTAGGTTTTTGGACCAGGGATTTATCTCAGTGGTTCCGCCGCCTGCCACGCAAGCACAAGGAGCCAAGTTCAATCCCCAGAACCAAAAAAAAAGTTAGGTTTTTTTATTTCATGGTGGATCTATCCATTAAATTTTTTTAACATTCTAGACTGATTGGAATAAATATTTTAAGAGAAGAAAATGTTTTTATTTCAAAATTACATATTTTTTAATTGGAATAAATATTTAATCAACAATTCTTAATCCGAAATCCATTTTTTTCTAGTAACTTGTTTATATGTGATCAAAATAAAATTCATTAAAGTCTCACTTAGCTTGTTTTAGAGCCAGAGCTGACAATCTGGGCCCAGCCCCCAGTCGCCAAGAATACCTAGCTTTGGGCAGGTTGGGCCCAAGAAGTAAATGCCTAGGTATGCATCTAAGGAAACCATGCCTGGTTATAAATCTTGTATAGGTACTTCACTTTATCCAAGAACAGAGGAGATCCTACAATGAGGAGCCATGAGTAGTCTCAGGTTCCAAAAACCTAGGTTACATGTTACTCATTTCTGTATCCCCCACAACTATCTCAGCCTGGACACCAGCCCACGCCCTGCACGTATTGCATGAAATGAAATGATGTAGCTTCACCTTCACTCTTTGTTAGCTCACCTGAATATCATCCATTCTTTGAGCTTCAGTTTCCTCATTTATAAAGTAGGGGCTGAAAATAAAACTTTCTTGTAGGAATGTTTCAAAGATTGAATGAATAATGTGTATAATCACATTATGTAAACTCTACACCAACATACAAACTGAGATGAAGAAAAAGGAAAGCTCCATTTGTGTGACTGCTTCTCAAATGTGCTGCTATTACCAACATTTTAATGGCTAAAAGCCATAGTACTTTCCTCACTTCTATTCAGTAAAGTGAATGATCCAAATTGCAAGCTTATTCATGGGTCTCAGTAAAGATATTTTTATTTTAAATGAAAGAAAAAGCAACAACAAACGGTGCATCCTTAAGTAGTCTCCTTTCTCCTGAATAGGCCCTAGTGCAAATAAGTTTGTTCACCACTGACCTAGAGGAGTCAGAAATAAATCATGGCTCTTCCACAGTTTCATTCTTGACACTGACCATTTGTTTGCTTTAGCCAGCTGGTAACAAAAGGACTGCCCTTGATGTCACATATGGAAGTAATAGCTTCCTTGAAACATTAACTCTTCGGGATTTACACTAAAACACTCTAATTTCTGTAGACAACTAAGAAAATGAAGAAGCTGGAAAAGGACACAGCCACATGGAAAGCCCGGTTTGAAAATTGTAACAAAGCTTTACTGGACATGATTGAAGAGGTAAGAAAGTTTTTCTCTTAGTATTTACCAGCCCCATTTAGTTAAGATATTCATTCTGAGAGTTTAATTATAACCCAATAATACCAGCAATTATATTTGGAAAAGAGCTAAATGTTGGGGAATACGTCATGTTCAATTGTGATAAAAATAAGAGCAAAGGCCATTCTGAATCCCATCCTCACTCACAAAAAGCTTTGTGACCCTAAGTCACACATGTATTGATTCAGAAGCTGTCCTCAGAGTAGCACCATGCCTGCTGGATTGTGGATTACTTAAAGGTAGAATAAATGTCTTGATTGGCTTTGAATTTCCCCTATGCCTAGCACCTAACATGAACTAATTAACTGATTTGCATATACTAAGAAAAGGCACCAGCTCAAGCACTAAGGGTATATGCTATTTTATAGATAGATGTGAAAAAAAAATTTAATTCCTCCAACAAGCATTTAAATAGTGCTGTTACACCAGGTCTGAGTAGGCTCTGCAATTCTAAAGAAAAAGACACAAGATCCTTGACCTGAAAGGCGGGGCTTATAGATGAAGGTCTCTTCATGTTAACTAGTGAAAAAAGGCTCAAAAGGTACAGAATAACTCAAAGATGCGGGTAAAGAGTGAGACGATTTGGAACATGTTCATGCACAAACATCATCATTTCTTGAAAAAAGAATAGTTTAAGTAGCCAGCATTATGAATTAGTGTGTGGTGAGTTCCTGTGGTTATAATTACTGTTCTAACAACTCATCCCAAATTGGAACCAATTCCAAAGATACGTATTTACTACTCATCATAAATGAAATGGAGCTGGGTTTAGCATACAGTAGTTTACCTATAAAATAGATATGGCACTATTGAGGACAAGGTAGTCCCAGTTCATCTTGTTCAGTTTGCCACAAACTTTAGCTTACATCTTCTAAATCTTCGAATTTGAAAAATCTATCTACTTTAAGATTTAAGGGGCTCTGGACTAATGCAGAAAGAAGCCGTGCCACCTTTCTAAAGAAAAGGTTATGGTGATTAAAGTTCTACCAGATTCTAGCACACAACATCATATTTTTTAAAAAATTACATCCCTGACCAAGTATCTGTTAGGCCAGCACTCTGTGGCCAGGCCTCAGAGCCTGATAAACAAATTCTGTGACAAATAGTTTTGTCTCCAGAAAGTATGTTGGAAATTTTGTTTTTCACGTCATTTTGTGTGTGTTCAAATCACAGAAAGCACTGAGAGCTAAGGAATACGAGTGCTTCGTGATGAAAATAGGGAGGCTGGAGAACCTCTGTCGCGCTTTACAAGAAGAGAGAAACGAACTCTATAAAAAAATTAGAGAAGCAAAAATGCCTGACGAGGATGAACAAAATCAGCCTACCTCGGATGAAGAGCCAGAGGCAGACAGCTCTATGAGTAGAGAGATGGATACAGAGGAGGTCAACCGTGTTCAAAACGCCGTGAAGAGTCTGGCTACCTCCTTCATGATAATTCATCATCCAGAGTCAACCCTCGACCCAAGCTTGGTCCATCTGGAACTGAGTGGCCCTAAGGGGGGCAAGGCCTCTCCCCTCAACAAGCCCGAACAAGCCCTTCTGCCGTCTTCCTCGGCTTCCGAAAGTCTTCTGCTTCCCTCAGTTCCTGAGGCTGAGGCCAAAGTAGGCAACGCGGTGCAACCTGCCCCTATGGCCGGCCATATGCCCGCCAAAATGCCAGAAGAGCCAGTAGGCCAAGGTCTCACTACCGATGTTCAGGCTGACCAGCAGTCTCGGAAGCCAGAGTCAGAAGCTTCCGGTCTGGCCCCATGGTCCCCTGCCCAGACCTCCCTACCCAGGCTTGAAACCAATGGTTCCGCTTATGCAGAAACTTCCGGTCAGGCCCCCCAACCGGGGGTGACAAAATGCCCTGCTCATGAAGAAGCTTCAGGGCAGTCCCTGCGGGACTCGGCTAAGGCCTCCTTACTCAAGGTGGAGGCAAATGGTCCCACACATGCCGAGGCTTCGGGCCTGGCCGCCACCCAAACTCCCCTACCTGGGGTTGAGGCAAATGGTCCTGCCCCATCACCCCCAGCAAAAGAGAATGTTCCAGGTGAGGTGCCTGGGAGTGAGCCCAGGAAGCAGCCCCCACCAGCAGCTTCAGGGGAGCTAGCCCCAGAGGCCTCAGCTAGGCCCCAGCTGCCCAGAATGGCTGACACCAGCCTGGAAGGTGTAGACTAAGCCTCACCATTCCTTCAGAGGCTTTCTTCCTGACTTTGCATCTTGGTCATTGCAGACTGTCTCTGAAAGAGGCGTTAAGGACTAGGGACATCAAATGGAAGAGAGTTAGGATTAAGACATCTTTGAATTTATGCAGAGTACATTCAGTCTTTGCTCTTTGTTCTCAATTTATAACTGATAAGGAGCTTTTCTAATTTAATACTAACATTATAATTTTCCCAAATGGCAACTGAACATTCTAATAGCAAAGCTTTCCATTAAGATGGTACTCAATTTTTTAACAGTAAAATTTGATGTTTAAATGACTTATACATGACATAAATACTGACAATGTAATGTTATATTGATTTCTACAAATTGTTTAATAAGTTCCATATAACTGATGGATGCCCAGATTTCATTTAAACAGTATATATACATAGTATTGTACATGTGTTTATGTATGTGAATATATACACATGGAAATGTGAATATAATCATGTATGTGTACATGTGTGCATATATAAATGTATATATTATACATACATTTCTCGCATCCCTCATGGATTTTTCTCTATGCAAAATATTTAGATGCTAATCAAAAAATCATCTCTTTTATTTTTCAGGTGATATACAGTAAATAATGCTCTATGAATCAGAAGTAGGTTCAAAACAGAAATATTTACCCCATCATTGTATTGTACAAAAATAAATAACCCAATGTTAGATCAATAAATTCAACCAATTGATCTAATGACAGAAGAGCAGTTGTTTTAGATTGCAAAACTTCAGAGAGCATGGACACAAAGGCGACCACAAGAGGCCCTAAACAGCTGTAAGTGGCTCACCCCTTCAGCTGTTTGTCATATACTCTTTGGCCTACTGCCTCACATTGCCCTCCAAATGAGTAGACAGCAACACTCCTGGCTGCTTGTAAAAAAAAAAAAAAAAAAAAAAAAAAAAAGGGTAGCATTGGGGGAAACTCAGACTGAGAAAAGGCTGTGCCCTGTCCCCTGTCTCTTGTGCTGCTGATGTCTCAGTCAAAGTATTCACCTCTTCCTGTCTCTGACCCAGTCTGTATTCTGAAAGCATCTGCTCCTTCCTTCCAAATGTCCCCATTTGTAAGAGGAAATTACACATAATCCTCACCCCAATTAATGCTAAATAGAATCATTATTTTCCAAAACAGAAATCCACATAGGGTTTCTATAGGAGTGACAAGGCTTACAAAACAATGCATTTTCTGCTTTGAAGATTTTTCTACAGCCCAGAAGTACAAAATAAAAAAATAAATTGATCCCTACTCAAAATGTTGAAAAGTAAGTGAGGATTCAAGAGAAAGCAAAAGGTAGAAACACCCTGGGGTGAATATTACATTATTATTGCTTGACAAGAACCTCGAATAATACAACAGCAAAACTTAGTCTACCTGGGGTAAAGGAAGACTACACCAATGAATTAGGAGAAAGGAAGAGAGGTGAGGAGGGAGATGGAAGGCAGAAAAGAAAAAATGTCTAATCATACCTTAAAAAGTTGCACTCAAGTATAAAAGTGGATAAAAGCAAAATTCTCTACTACTCATTCAGGAAATCATCCATCAGTGTTGCATATGGCTGTTTGCCAAGGCACACAAAGAACTTGCAGGCAGCAGCCATATGTTACAAGAATTGTAAACTGCATGAAATTTGTTTGAAGTAGACAGTGAGGGTAATAACAAAAATGCTAGTCAAGAGGAAAAATTAGGAAAAAGTATGTCACTATTTGAAAATCTATGTGTTTTAAAGGCTTAAAATATAACCACAGAGGTATGCAGCCAAATTCAACGTTACTGGAAATTAAATATTCATTTAATTCAGAGTTAAATATTCACTATAACAATCCAGGAGGGTCTCCTTTCCCTCTATTTGCAGAAGTTGAACTTGCAAGAATGGAGTAAGATTAGATAACCAAAGTAAAATCTCAGTCTGAATGTTTAGCAAGAGAAAGACAGCAGATGTGCCAAATCCAGTAAATCAACTATTTCAACACCCAAAGTTCATTATTTTCATCCAAAAGTCTTTCATACCAACACATTAGTCACTACTGTATATATCTTGGGCAGAGTTTTGGATACAATAAAGTGCCTGAAATTTGTAAAGCTTAATATAGGCTTTGGAAGTATTATTTTAATATTCAAAGAATGTTTCATTATTATGCTTTATGTTAGAATTTGGCATCCCTAATTATTACAATAACTCATAAGAGCTAAAAGTAGAACAAATTTATATTCTTTGACAAATTCATGTAACTATTTTTAGAGATGACAAGTATACTTTCTAGAAACATTAAATTTAATAACATAATTTATGTATCTATTAAAGGTACTTCTCTTCCAAAACTATCTTGTAGTGGTTTTTTTTAAATTAAATTCTTTTATTG